GGGAGACTCCTTGCTGCCGCTGTCGGCACAGCTCAAAGAGGATCCCTCACCATTTCCAACACTTGAAGAAGCCGAGCGTATGGCAGCTCATAATAAGGTTGTGGTGCACAGCAGAAATATATCGAAATTGCCAGCTGCACCAAATACTGCATTATATCAGAACAGTGAAGATGGTTGCCTAAGAGAAAAGCAAGAAAATACAGATGAGCAGGATGAAGAAGTAGATGAGGAGACCACGGGCGGTAACCGAAGTAATGGTAACTCTGTTGATGACTATGAAAGCGAGAATAGTATGGGTTTTGAAAGCGATGAAGAGCTTGAAAATATAAACCTAGAACAATTATCCACTCCGACTACTCAAGTTTCACCCATTAAAAAATATGTAGGTCACCAAATTCCAGAAAGTTTTCTTAAAGAAGCCGGTTTACATTCGACAAGTACGAATGAAAAAATACCAGGTACACAGTTTGGCGATATCAGTCCTCTTTATGAACTCGATTCCGAAGGAAATGTACGTACCGACGTTCCCTCCGAAGTAACAGATGCATTGCGTATGTTCGGTCATACCAATTTTCGAAAAGGCCAAGACCGTGCAATTATGCGTATACTATCTGGTCTTTCAACGTTAGTTACTCTAAGCACCGGCAGCGGAAAGTCGTTATGTTATCAGTTGCCCGCTTATTTGTATAGCCATCGCAGACGGGCAATAACATTAGTTATATCACCGCTCGTGTCCCTTATGGAAGATCAGGTGACCGGTGTGCCACATTTTTTGCGAGCACATTGCCTACACACAAATCAAACACCCCAACAGAAACTTAAGGTAATGGAGAAAATATCTGCTGGTGAAGTGGATATTTTGTTAGTGTCACCGGAAGCAGTAGTGGCTGGCGAACGTTCCACTGGTTTTGGCGCAATTCTGCGGCAACTACCACCAATTGCCTTTGCCTGCATCGACGAGGCGCACTGTGTATCGCAATGGAGTCACAATTTTCGCCCTAGCTATCTGATGATTTGCAAAGTTCTAAGACAGAACTTGGGTATTCACACAGTGTTGGGCCTAACTGCAACAGCAACGTTACCAACACGGCTAAGCATTATTAGTCATTTAGGCATAACGGATGGCGTACGTGGTGTCATAAGTGACACTCCACTGCCAGATAATCTTCTGTTGTCCGTATCAAAGGACGAAAATAAAGATGCTGCGTTATTGGCCCTACTTACAAGTGATCGGTAAGATACATATACATATTTTAATTCAATAAACCATAGTTAATTTGTAATTATTATTTTATATTAATTTTTCATAAAAATATTTGACATTATGTGGAATAAAAATTTTATTACAAAGGTATTTTGAGGGTACAAAGGGTCCTAACAGTTGTTGTGTGCCTTGTGCAGCAGCTCAGAAAACAAAAGAAACTCATCCTTTTTATTTATGCGTTTAGGATTTGAGCCTTTTTTCAAGTCTAACGAAGTTTATTACATCACTAGCATAGAGTTGAAAATTGCAGTTTTAAATTTTTATAAGAGAGGAAAAAATCCTATAATTTTTTTTCAAGTACATATTTGGCAAAACTTTGTCTACAGAGCAAAACATACGAGTCATTTAATTAAAATTCGACGTTAATGAAAAATATTTGTATTTTCGTGGACTTATCAAATTTTCTGTGCTTTCTTTGGAATTAACAAATTTGCGTTTCACCGAATAGACTAGGCCTATTCCACAAATATACTATCACTGAGTTCGAATAGCTACGAACGTATAAATATCCACAGGTACTCTAATAATAAGTACCTGCTGCAAGCGGATTTTCGGCTTTTTTTAAATAAAATTTTCCTCAATTTTGATTCTCTTAATGAAAGGATCTCTTGCTGCTGCTCCAATTATGAAGATTTCTCATGGCCTTAAGTGAAAGACCTTATCAAGATGCACTGCTCAGAGCAGCTGATATGCCGGGGCATGCGAATCTCTGCATACTTCCGATGATCATTTTCCGTAAATCACGTACGGCGACAGTCCCCAGTTTGTCGGAATGCCATTTTGCAGAGCTTAGAGTCGAAAGATAAAACCGAAGTACTTCGCCTTCCGTGAAAACATTTCTCTACTTAAGCAAACATTGTTTATGGATAATATGATGAACTTTTTATAACATTTTCCCATAGTGCCACTGCTACGAAAAACATGTATGTATGCCTATTTACGAGTACTAGTGTTCGCCCAGCGGTTGAAATTCAACCGATAAAATTAAGGATAGTTTATGTAAGTTGAATGAGCTAAAATAACATTAGTTGGAATGGGTTAAGTGGAGCGGAGTTTAGCTTAGTACTTGGCATAACATAACATAACCATAACATAAGAATAAATAACATAACATATGAAGCATAACACACCACAATATAACATCGCACACTCTTCAGTTGTATTTCCTTTTTATCCCTTTTTTCACCTCTTATTTATTTTGGTTCATTTTATGCCAAATGATGTTGCCTTTGATGCCACATCAAGTGATATCATGTCATGTGGTGAAATTGGGTGTGGTGAGCTGCGGTGTGGTGGAATTGGGTGTAGGAGTTACGGTGTGGTGAATTAAGGTGTGGTGGATTCAGGTGTGGTGAGTTAAGTTATGGTGAGAAAGTTGAGGTGTGGTGAATTTTGGTGTGGTGAGTTGAGGTGAGTTAAGGTGTGGTGAGAAAGTTGAGGTGTGGTGAATTAAGGGTGGTGGATTTAGGTGTGGTGGATTTAGGTGCGGGGGTTAAGGTGTGGCGAGTTGAGGTGTGGTGAATTAATGAGTGGTGAGCTCAGGTGGAGTAAGTTTTTAAGTTAAGATGAGTTAAAGTTAAGGGGTTATGATCTTTATCCTTATCTTCATCTTCATCTTCATCTTCATATCCACCTTCGTTTGTATTTAGGTTTCTTTACTTTTATTCTAATCTTTGCCTTTATCCCTTTCTTCTTCTACATATTCAACTTTACCTTCTTCCTTGCATGAATCTTAATCTTCGTAAATCTGATTTCTAAACTGCGGCTTAGCAGATTTCTTTAATTCAGTATCAATAATAAAGCAATGTCATTGATGCCACATAAAGTGATATCATGTCATGTGGGGAAATTGGGTGTGGTGGTTTGCGATGTGGTGGAATTGGGTATGGGAGTTACGGTGCTTTGAATTCAGGTGTGGTGGGCTTAAGAGGTGCGGTGAGTTTAGGTGTGGTGAATTTATCTGTGGTGAGTTGAGGTGTGGTGAATTTAGGTGTGGGGAGTTAAGATGTGGTGAGTTGAGGTGTGGTGAGTTAAGGTGTGGTGAGAAAGTTGAGGTGTGGTGAATTACGGTGTGGTGGATTTAGGTGTGGGGGGTTAACGTGTGGTGAGTTGAGGTGTGGTGAGTTAAGGTGTGGTGAGAGAGTTGAAGTGTGGTGAATTACGGTGTGGGGGTTAAGTTGTGGTGTGTTTCATCTTCATCTTCATCTTCATCTTCATCTTCATCTTCATCTTCATCTTCATCTTCATCTTCATCTTCATCTTCATCTTCATCTTCGTCGTCTTGGTCTTCATCTTTATCTTTTCCTTTATCCTGATCTAAATATGTCCATTCTTTTCTTCATTTACATATTCACCCTCACCATTGTTATTAGGTTAGGTACTTAAATTTTCCTTCCTCTTTGTCTTTATATCTAGGTTTCTTTACTTTTATTTTAATTTCTGTATTTATCCCTTTCTTCTTCTCCATACTCAAAATTATCTTCATCCTTGTTTGAGGCTAATCTATTCATGTACATACATACATACATCTTATTCCTAAACTGCTGCTTAGCACGTTTCATTAATTCACTATCAATATTAAAGCATACATTTAGGAGGCATTTCCGCCCCAACCATGTACATGTATGGCATTGGTATTGGTGTGACTTTTGAATTGATTTTTTCGCTCTATTTTAAACTAATTTGAAATTTTAAAAATTGCCTGCACATCAGCATGAAAATACCTTTCTAATGATATATAATTGTTTATACCTTAGAAGTACAGTTTAGCCGTAAAAGGGGTGTAAAGGAAACATGATTGCCTATTTATATAATTGATTAAGAACCCAACAAGCAAAATAAACTTAAAGTCGGTTTTATTTTACATAGATTTTATAAAGCGAAAATGCTTATCTTGGTATAAAGTCAAGATCAAAAAATACAATAAAACTATTAACAGTAAATATAGCTTTTATTAAGAAAAGAGCAAAGCAAAATAAGTACAGTTTTTTTTTTTCATATCAAAATTAAAACGAATAAAAATCAGCAACATCAACAGAAGTTTTTCCAAGCAGCTGTCGCCTCTCGACAGAAAATGGCAACCCTCCGAGTGTACTTCTGCCATAAAAAAGCAGAACACGCGTGCGACGAGATGCTCAGCAAAACATGTAGAAAGCGTTTAAGCGCCAAGCATTCGTTTATTGGACTCAAATATGACATACTGTTCATCGCCAAATAACCTAGGATATAATTTTGAAACTATTTGATCGATCAAAAAATCCGGTTTATTTGATATTCGAAAAATCAAAATTTCACAAAAACCGCCTATAGATTGCCAAAAAAAAAACCGGTGGTAACCGATTTGGAAAAACCTAGTCAATCACCCTAATACATACATATAAAAACTGCACTTTGGCTGTTTTTTTTTAACGCATGTGCAGAAATATTTTGAATTGAAAGCGTTAAATTTTTAACTTTACTTCGCCTGAATTTCCTGTATAACAGAAAATACCACATTTTTTATGCTTCTCGAAGTTTGCGTGTTGGTTGGCTAAAATTAAAATTAATTTGATTTTGTTCATGTAGGAAATATGATTTGCTGACTACAGCAATATCGAAATCTCTAAATATTTTAAATCTATCTACGCAAAAATAGCTAATACAAAGATATACATATGTATTATTTACTGGCTTCACAACCACTAGTGAAGATCTATGACAATATCGAAGTACGCACTAACTAACCAAATTGAGTTTAATTAAATTTTTTTCAACTACAGACTACATGGACAGACTTTTTCGAATTATTCAGAAATTTTAAATGACTAGAGTTAATTTTTGATTGGTAATTTAAAAAAGCATGCAATTTTATGCTGTAATTTCGATATGATTGAATATAATTATTGAAAAACTGAAATAAAACTTATGTATGTACTACATGTTTTTACATATTTATATATTTAAGGCCATATTTAGTTTATTATTTATTATGTTGCATATTTTGGCCAGCACTGGTTATATATGTATATAGTATATTACCTTTTCCCTGACCCTATTACGAAGCGTTATTTTCTTGAAAATTTCAGATTTACTGACTGCCATTCGATAATAGTTTACTGCACGCGTCGGGATGAGTGTGAACGCGTATCTTCATACCTTCGCACATGTATGCAGGATCAATATAAAGAGAAAGATGCTTCAGCCAATGGCAAGCGAAAGCGTAAGCGAGTAAATTGGGCTGCGGAGCCTTATCATGCTGGTATGCCGTCTTCACGGCGTCGCACAATACAAAACGCCTTTATGAGCAATGATCTACGCATTGTTGTGGCAACCATAGCTTTCGGTATGGGTATCAACAAACCAGATTTACGTGCCGTTATTCATTACAATATGCCCCGCAATTACGAAAGTTATGTGCAAGAAATTGGTCGTGCCGGTCGAGATGGCAAGCCAGCACATTGCCATCTCTTTTTAGATGCGCGTGGAGGGGACAAATGTGAACTACGTCGACACATCTATGCGAACTCAATCGATCGACATGTGATACGCAAACTGTTGCAGCACGTTTTTGTGCCTTGTGCCTGTGCCAAGAAGGGGCAGTCGGAAGAGCAATATCAGAGAACCCAAGCTGCCAAAAATGAATTGGTGATTAATGCAGAATCGCAAGTGAATAATCGATTTTGTCCCGGCCATGAAATCGGATTATCGGTCGAACGGACCGTTGAAGAATTGGACATACCAGAGGAGAATATTTCTACATTGCTGTGCTATTTGGAGCTGGATTCTCGCTGGAATATTAGTGTGCTTAGCAACGCCTATACCATGGCCAAGGTCATATCATACGGAGGTGCCAAGTATTTAAAGTGAGTTCTTGAATTGAATGAGTTCTGTGAATGAGTTCTGTAAAATACTTAATATTTTTACTGAAAATTTGCAGACATGCTGCCAAGGAATGTGCCCCATTAGCTATGGCTATTGCGCTTGAAATAAAACAAAACAAATTTAAGGACGATTCAAATTTAATAGAGTTCTCCGTGGTTGATGTTGCTGCTGCGATTGGCTGGAATAGTGGTGTGGTTAAATATCAACTTAAAAATTTAGAGTGGACCCAAGGTAATTAAAATTAAAACCTCCAAAATATGTTTAAGCAGTTTGTGCAAGGCCTTGCAAGAAATTCCAAAAAAAAAACGAAGAAAGCTTATGGCGATGAGAATTGAAAATACACATCCCTAATCGAATTCAGGGGATAATTTGATATACTACCCTGCGCACCTTTAGCTCATACACTTTGAAATATTTCTACTATATATATATTTCTACTAAATATGAACTATAAGTGTGAAGTGTGTGAACTCTAGGTGGGCAGGGTAGTACATATACCCTTGTGGTCAGTTGATTAAGCTAAGTGACATTTTGACCAGTTTTGGATATTTTTAACCGACATCAAAAAAAGGAGCAGGTTATTAATTCGTATGTTATGTATCTTACCGCATAACTTTGGACCACGTCAACCGATAATTCTTATTTCATCGGAAAGGTAGTGTCTCACAGGTGGTCCCATACAAATTTGGTTTAGATCCGATCATTGGATAATGAAAAAAATGAACGATACTCCTAAAATTGTATATAAGAATTGAAGTCGGTTGTGTTCTTTTGCGTAAAAATTACTTGTTCCTTAATGCTTATAATTTTTTTTTGTTATAAAAGTCTAGCATATTCATAGCTGGGTCGTAATGAATCCTTTAAGAATTAAATTACTCCCAATTACAAATTACAAGGCATTGTAATTAGGAATCAATTCGTTCAGTCCACAGCAAAAAAATTGATTACTTTTTTCAATTCCTTAGAAGTAATTTCAAATGTAATTGTTTTTTTTTTTGAATTCCATTACAAGGAATCTCATATTGTGATTTGAATAAATTATGTGCTACTAATATAATTTTTCCCCCATTTCCTTTGAAAGGAATTGAAAATGTAATATATTTTCTTCCAATGCCAAATGCAATGCCAAAATGCCATAACTAATCCGAATGGAGCCTTGGGTCACCGCAAAAAGAGAGAGTCGGACCACTCCGACTTATTCGGTTTAAGGGCTCACTGAAGTCTGTTCACCAGTAGGTGCGGCTGTAAGCGGGTGTCTGCTTGGAGCAAGCGGCTCGCTATATAAACGTGTATTTGGTTGCGAAACCACCGCCGTCCCAGCAATGGGTTGTGCGCTGGGTTTGGGACACGCCACGTAAAAACCACTTCCAGTGAAGAAGCAAGGCAAAGCATCGGATGAGACCCCCCCTTATGATGACGACCACGGCAAACGTTTAATGGACTACGATGTGAGGGCATGCACCTGGAATGTCCGGAATGTGTAAAGGAGCGCAAATTCGGTGTTGGATTTATGGTGGGAGAGAGACTCCGTCGCCGAGTACTGTCGTTCACCCCGGTGGACGGGCGTCTATCCACAATCCGCATCAAAGGAGATTCTTCAACATCTCGCACATCTGCGCCCAAGGATGAGGCATCCTAGGATCTCTTCTATGAGAGCTTGGAGAGCACGTATGAGCGCTGCCCCCATCATGATATAAAAATCGTGTTTGGCGACCTCAATGCCAGGGTGGGCAAGGATGGGATCTTTGGATCTTCGGATTGAGGCTGATCGACTTCGCCGGGGCCCGAAACATGGTAGTATGCAGTACTAGGTTCAAGCATAAAAAGATCCATCAAGCTACGTGGCTGCCTCCGGATCGAAAAACGAGAAACAAAATCGATCATATTGTGATAGACGGAAGGCACGCTTCCAGTGTTTTAGACGTACGCACACTCCGAGGCCCAAACATCGACTCGAACCACTATCTTGTTGCAGCCTAGATACGCACCTGCCTCTGTGCAGCAAAAAATGTGCGCCCAAATATGCAAGGAAAGCTTAACGTCGAAAAGCTGCAATCACAACTGACTGCCAGTGCTTTCGCTACTCGACTCTCACACCTGCTCTCGGAGACCACTCTTCAACAAACCGACATATGCGAGCAGTGGAACCACATTTCTCGCTCATTAAGTACCGCCGCCGAAGAAGTAGTCGGATTTCAGCGAGCCCGAAAGGACAACTGGTACGATGAGGAGTGTCTGGAAGCTGCAGAGAAAAAAGATGCCGCCTACAGGGCCACGCTGCGATCGGGCGCAACGCGCGCTATGTGGGACCGCTATAGGGATTTGAAGAGGGAAGTGAGACGTATTTGCCGCAATAAGAAGAGCGAGGCCGAAATACGTGAGTGCGAAGAGCATGGAATGCTGGCCGACAGGAAGAATGCCCGAAAATTTTACCTAGAGTTAGGCGACTTACGGAAGGTTTCAAGACCAGGGCGTTCTCCTGAAAGAACAACAATGGCGACATAGTAACCGATGTTCAGGGCGTACTTAAATTATGAAGGGAACACTTCTCCGCCCTAATGAATGGTAGCAGCACGGAAAGTTGTGGAGAAGAAGAACCTGAGCCCGCAGTCTATGATGACGGAGTCGACGTTCCACCACCTGACTATGACGAGGTACGAATAGCAATAACGCGGCTGAAAAACCACAAAGCTGCTGGAGCTGACAGCCCGCCAGCTAAGCTATTCAGTTCTATTCTGCATTTCGATTCGAATCGAAATTTTCTCCGTTTGGCAACTTTGGTATTCTGCGTTCCGTTTCTTTTCGATCAATCTTCGAAATTTACGATTATACCGATTCTACATTTCGATCGTAGTTCCGTTTTTCTAAGTTGCAAATTTGTTGACGGAGAACGTTTCGATTGTTATTTTCGTGGGTTTAAATAATAAAATTTTATAAAAAATTAAATAAAACATACGAGCGGTTATACGGGCAATAAGAAAAATTTGCTCAAATAAAGACAATCAAAAGGGATATTGCGCGAGGTTTTCAAAGAGGAAATCCAGGCGTTTTTGTTTTCATTATAAATAAGACTGTGAAATGCACTGAATACCATTTATTCCTTTTATATAAATTAATAGATGTATGTGCATACATACATGCATACATACTTAAAATGTGAAGTTTCATAAAAATAGATGCTTTTATTATTGCACATTTTAAAAAGAGGAGCGTATGTTGTCTCGAATTCGATTTGCAATGGAAGGATAAGATTCGTTCTTCTCCTACTCTTGACGGCTTTCAAAATGGAATTCATTTGCGTTCAAATCCTCCACTCTGTAGTAAATGCAAATGTTGTGGAGTGCTCAAACAACGTTTATAATTTCACTGGCTTTGAGCGATGAGTAATACAGGTCAAGATGAATTTCTTATGACTCTTCACTCATCTGAAAAAGATCAAACATGTCCCTAAATCTCCGCCTTTCAACTTCCGCATCAGCAATCTGGGACTCGTTCTCCTCTTCAAGCAATAACGCCGCGGCTATGGATTTCATTCTTATAATTATGTATCCACTTAAATTTTAATTTTAAATTACAGTAATGCTAGGTATATTTAGTTATTTTAAAATATTTACAAACTTTAACTTCATAAGCTGCTATAGTTTGGTGGCAAATATTTCTTTGTTTTGTTTCGATTTCACACATTCCTAGGCAAACAGCTGATTTTGAAAGATGTTTTCTCTCTTCCTCTTCTTCTTTCGATTCGATCGTAACGCAGAATACCTAATTTCGATTCTTGCGGAGCGGAATGCGGGAACGGAATCGAAATGCAGAATAGGGCTGATTCAAATACGGCGGCGAGGAGTTGATAAGGTGCATGCATCATCTCTTGGTCAGCATATGATCAAATGAACGCATGCCTGACCACTGGAATTTAGGTGTGCTATGTCTAATCCCCAAGAAAGGTGACCCCGCCATTCGCGCCAACTACTGCGGGATCAGCCTTCTAAGCATAAGTAACAAGGTCTTATCGAGCGTATTGTGTGAAAGACTGAAGCCCACCGTCAATGAACTGATTGGGCCTTATCAGTGTGGCTTTAGACCTGGCGAATCCACCATAGACCAGGTATTCACAATACGCCAAATATTGGAAAATACCCGCGAGAAAGAGATCGACACTCACCACCTATTCGTCGACTTTAAAGCCGCTTTTGACAGCACTAAAAGGAGTTGCCTATACGCCGCTATGTCTGAATTTGGCATCCCCTCAAAACTCATACGGCTGTGTAAAATGGTGTTAAGCAATACCACCAGCTCCGTCAGAATTGGGAAAGACCTCTCCAAGCCGTTCGCCCCCAAACGGGGTTTCAGACAGGGCGAAGTCTGTTTTACTTTTTCCAAGGTGGACAGGGAAGCAGAGCGAATGGGGCTGGTGGTAAACGAGGACAAGACGAAGTATCTCCTGTCATCAAACAAACAGTCAGCACATTCGCGCCTTGGCACCCACGTCACTGTTGACAGTAACAATTTCGAGAAAGTAGAGCATGAACGAAAGACACAAGGTCACGTAAGAACAAGAGAGTGAAAAAAGTCGATTTTTTTTTGCGGGTTCTACGCCATCTTGTTTAACAGGAAAACGAGCGAAAAGTGAACAAAGCAAAGAAAACAACGAAAACCAAAATTAGCCAAAATTATTGTCAGCCACTTTAAACGCACAATTTAGGTAAAATGATGTAACAAAATGCTTTAAAATGTGTTGTCATGTTGAATTAACTCTTCTTTACTTGAATAAAAGTGTAAAATAGTGGTGCTTGTGATGTAAACAAACGCTCAACTGACGAACCCGCTTTCGCAAACTTTTCTCAAAACCAGTTACAAATACAACGTCGCGTTCTTACGTGATCTTGTATTTTTGGTTCATGAAAGTAGAGAATTTCGTTTACTTGGGAACCAGTATTAACACCGATAATAATGTCAGTGCTACTTTGGACTGAGTAGGCAATTCAGGAGTAAAGTCCTCTCTCGACATACGAAAACCACGCTCTATAAGTCATTCATCATGCCCGTGCTGGTATATGGCGCAGAAGCATGGACAATGACAACATCCGATGAGGCGGCTTTTGGAGTGTTTGAGAGAAAGATTTTGCAGAAGCCTTACGGGCCTTTACGCGTTGGCGACGGCGAGTACCGCAGACGATGGAACGCTGAGCTGTATGAGCTTTACAACGACATGGACATAATGCAGCGAATTA